AATTCCAAAAAAGTCAGAATGTGAAACGCTAAAATACAGAAAGCAATGATTACTAAATTATGCTTGACCTGTATTCAATTGGCTAATCAAGAGGTTAATCAAGTAATGAACGGAGTTGAATCAGGTGTCTTTGAGCAGGAAAATGACCAAACAGTGCTGGATTTTGGCCATCCAGGCTGGAATGGATGATTTCTAAATTACTTGAGAAAAAAGTAAAGGAAAAATAAATTGCTAAGAACAAAAAGAGGAAAAAAAAAGAAAATGGATTGCCTAATGTACAGTATTCTGTCTTTACAACCTCATTGGCATGCTGGACAGTCTGCAACATGATGCACTGCACATATTCCTTTTTACTTTTTTATTGATTTACAGATCTATTTCAACTTTGCCAACTGACAAATTTGGACAACAGAGTTCACACTTTGTTTGGATTCATGATCTAAGTATTATTACAATTCATTTTAACTGTTTCAAATGTATTCAAGGAAGAAGCAAAAACACAATTACACTGTAAAAAGAAAGTTTACTTGTAGCCATATACAAATACTGGATTATACAGCCTAGAACTCCAATTTCAGAGCAGAAAGCACAATAAAACCAGAGACATAAGAAGATCAGAAAGAATTCGCCATTTCTTAAAGGAGAAAAATAAGGATACGATATCATAATACCACTCCAGACACTCTGGACCTTCAAAGACCAAATCAGAAACACATCATGGCTGCTATTCTTCTAAGTTAACACAGCAATTTAGATTCTGCAGACTTGCAGCGGTTATTATAGTCTCTGTAGTTGTGGAACCAAAACAACGCTGCCTGATCCAGCAGAAAAAAAAACATCAGAAGTAACACAGTTTCTCAAAACATCTACAGATCCTCTGTGGTTAAAAGCCATCGTCTCACTGAGGAGTTCGTCATTATTTGGTCCAGCTGACTTTAGGAATATCATAATGCTCTGTCAGTGTGTCCAGATGTCTGTTGAAGTCCTAGATCAAGAGAAAGAAAACAGTTCTAAGCACTGAAAGGACAAAGTGATCTTTTAGCCAACAGCATGTGGGCCTTTTAGATAGGCCTCTACTAGTAAAGTTTATGTACAGCATTATACATCATGCACAAAATCAGTCAGTCCCGCCCCCCACAGTCTCTACTAAAAACACAGAGCTCACATGTAAAAAATTAGAAAAAAGGGCAATAGTCACTGATGTGCAACGTACAGAAAAAAGTACAGATTCCCCCTCATTGTGTACATCAAAACTGTGTCCTTAGTGAGCTTTTGAGGATTACATGCAAGCACTGTAAAGCCATCAGATCCTAAAGTTTTAATTTTACTCCCTCCACTTCCTCTGAAACTGAAAAAATTCCAAAACTGAACGACTGGATCGAATAAATTATACACTCAAGTATTTGTTCAATAGGCCACTAAAAATTGTAGCCTAAAATAAATTAATACTAAAGGCCTTAAGATAGAACTGTTACTGTTAATATACACCAACTGTACACCTCTTTGTATCTACACTCATTGTGCATCTTATCAGCTCCACTTACTATATAGGTGCACTTTGTAGTTCTATAATTACAGACTGTAGTGCATCTGTTTCTCTGCATACTTTGTTACCCTGTTCTTCAATGGCCAGGAACTCCAGAGGACCACCACAGAGCAGGTACTATTTGGGTGGTGGATTATTCTCAGCACTGCAGTGACACTGACATGGTGGTGGCGTGTTAGTGTGTGTTGCGCCGGTATGAGTGGATCAGACACAGTAGTGCTGTCGGAGTTTACGAACACCTCAGTGTCAGTGCTGGACTGAGAATAGTCCAACAACCAAAAATATCTGACCAACAGCGTCCTGTGACCACTGATGAAGGACTAGATAATGACCAAAACAAACTGTGCAGCAGCAGATGAGCTATCGTCTCTAACTTTACATCTACAAGGTGGCCAACAAGGTAGGAGTGTCTAATAGAGTGGACAGTGAGTGGACACAGTGTTTAAAAACTCCAGCAGCACTACTGTGACTGATCCACGCATACCAGCGCAACACACACTAACACACCACCACCATGTCAGCGTCTCCACAGTGCTGTCAATGATCCACCACCAAAATAATACCTGCTCTGTGAGGGTCCATGGGGGTCCTGACCATTAAAGAACAGGGTAAAAGGGTGCTAAGTAGGTATGCAAAAAAACAGATGGACTACAGTCTGTAACTGTAGAACTACAAAGTGCACCTATATAGTAAGTGGAGCTGATAAAATGGACAATGAGTGTAGAAACAAGGAGGTGTACTTGGTGTAATGGCTGGTCAATGCATGCTTTATGCTTCTTAATAATCTTATTAATCTTCCATCTTGTTCCCACATTGGAGTGTTTAAAAAAAAGCCTAATAGAAACTGATGTGAAGGTTCCATTATGTTATAAATCATAACCCTTTTTTGTTTAAAAAATCGTACATGGTGTGAATAGGCTTTAACAGTGATTTTGAGAACAATTACTCAGGTACTCGTTTGGAAACAAAAACGAGCATTTGAAGCCTGTAAAATGCTGCGCCTAACCTACAAAACTGTGAAATAAAGCACTGCCCCAATACTGTAGGAAATGTGTGGACATTTGTTTCATATTTGTCCTGGATGAGGTGTTTTTTTGGGCACAGCCTGGATGTAGTGGAGAGCTACAAATGTGTTACAACTTTGTCTTACCTCAACTCTCTGCTTGTGTGTTTTAGAAGCTTTGTTCAAAATCCTTTCCATTTGCTAGTAAAAATTATGAGAGAGAAGAAAACAAAAAATATGTTTAAAGTACATTTGATGGTTTATTTAGACATGACAATGGAGAACTGCAACACAACTTCTTCCTTAAGCTAGGACAGAACAAAACATATGTATTTAAATTACTTTAAAAATATCAAGAACAGCCAAGATAAACAATATTTCTCTTTGTTCTCTCTTTTTTGTGTTTAGTTTTGATGTATGTCTACACTAGTACTGCTATTATATACTGTTTTGGATTAACAAATGCCATGCTGAATGAAACAAATTAAAGAAAGGCAGGCATACTCTTTTTTCCTGTATCTTGTCAAATGCTAATTGGGCAGGTGTCCTCTTGTCTACGTAGACTTTCTTGGTCTCCTCTTCACCATTTTGTGCGGTCAGCACCTGCTCCTCCAAATGCTTTCTCTCCTTGTCCTTCTTCTTTTTCCTGTTTTAACAAAAATAAATCGATGTTAATACTTCTGTCAGTAAAGAAAGACTCTGCCATCTGTGAACTTAAAGACAACATGAAATGGAAACCATGACTAATTCTTCTTCTGTATCATGACGTAACTGCAAGTGAAACAAGGTGTCTACTAAATAACAAACTTAAAGTAGTATCACCCCTACTTTAAATTTCCCAGAACTCCTTTTGTAAAATACCACTTACACAAAGCAAAATACGGTGAAATGTGAGCTCTCTCAAGGACTTTATTTATTAAACCGGAACTGCACTTTTCAAAATTTCAGCATAATTAAATGGCTATAATGTAAACAAAGTCATTCAGAGTGGTTTGGTATAAAATGCTCCATTCTACAGAAAATTGTCAAGTCAGAATTGTTCACAGTGGTGGTGACAGGAACCAGACGTCCACCACTTAAAGCTCTCCTCCACAAAGTTATTATATGAACTGGTTGTAAATACTCAGCCTGATGTCTAAGACACTGTTTTACTGCAGTATTGTGATTTTAGCCTAAAATGTATTTTAATCAGTTCATTTTAATCAAGTCATGGTGGAGGGATACATTAAGGGTGTTCCAAGGCAAAACAGTCCCCAAATAAAACTCCTTTTTTTTTTTTTAAGTTTACTACTATTTAACCATTATTTTACCAACATTGTTTTATGATACAATCAGCTTTTGGTTTAAAATATTTTTTTAATATGTTAATGATGGAGAGGTACATGCAGGATGTTATGAGGCAAAATACTCCCTAAAGAATATAAATTCCAGATTTATCAGTATTTAACCATTATCAAGATTACATAATAAAACTCAGAAGACACGTAAGTTTACTGAAGGTTTTGGATAGTATATAAAATGGCTAGATTTGTGTTGCAGGAAAGGCGACCTCTAGTTCACCATTTCACTTGAAACCACTCTGAATGGCTTTGTTTACGTCTCAACCACTCAATTATGCAGACATTTTGAAAAATCGGTGGAGTTCCCCTTTAAGGGCTAGCAATAAAAAAACTATTTCTGCTATTAGGTTACATATTTGAAATATATAACTTTAAGTAAAGACTGATATGTTGCCATTTCTTTTGTCTGTTACTGTCCCGGGGACTTTTGTCTCTAATGTGTCTTTAATGCTGATGTCCTTTAGTGTATTTTTTGTAAACACCAACCAGAGTTAAAAAACAGAGCTGACGTCTTGCGGTCCACAGATATTGTTGTACGTATTAAATCCAAATTTCAAAAACGAAATGCCTTACAGAGTTTAACTGCAACAACTGAAATATGCGGCTTACAAAAATTAAATTATACACATTAGCTAGCCAGTTAGCCAGAGATGCTAATAGAGGCTCAAACCGCAGAGGAAGCCAACTTCAGCCTCGTCTACAGCAACGGCAGCAGACTTATAATCACCAAATCGGCGCTAAAACATATAACCACCTATTAACTTAGTCTTTTAAAGAGTCACATACTTTTTCCCAGCCGAAACGACTCCAAGCCCTTTGAGTTTTAATGAGCCTTTCTGGACCGTAGAATATTCTGCCATTTTCTCGAAACCCAAAACAGTCGCCAGCACCGCTGCTCTGCTCATATGAGGGTTAAACGGTGCTGCCATCTAGTGGACTGGAAAGTAACTTGCTGGAATTTTCTTTTATTTTCGTTTTTTTTCAGAGCGCGTTATGTAAACCTTCAAGTAATTCACAAAGATATATGTATTTAAATAGTACATATACTAATATATTATATATTAAATTATTTACTGAAGTCAGAAATATACTGTTGATTAAGTGACTTCAAAATCGCGCACGCGCAATGCAGAGCGGAAACGCTGCCTTTGCACCGCAGCATGGTGGAGTCATGGCGTTGAGGAGCTTATTGAGTCCTTTAAAAGGGGCAAATCTCTGTGTTTTACATTCGCAAAGCGGTCTTGGTGCTTGCATTCTTCTGAACAGTCCTGTCCAGGTTCGGGGATATGCTAAGAAAGTCGGTAAGGCTGATCCTGGTTTGGTTTTGTGTCTATTTGAGTGGAATTTCAGGTGCAGCAGTCAGTCAGTCAGTCAAGTCTGACCTTGGATACCAGAAATACAGCAGCAAGCAATAACGGTGGACATTGTATTTACTGAGTAGAGGAGCATAAAAGCACAAGAAAAGTGTTATTTCAGTGAAATGATAATAAAAGTACTTTTTAAAAGGAGCTCTGAGAAATTATCAAGTCTGGAAACCCCTCAAGTACAGAATTCCCTATAGCAGTGGTCACAGCCCTCTTCTTGAAGATCTCCTTTCCTGCAGAGTTTAGTTCCAGCCTGTTCCTAATATTAAATTAAGAAGGCACGGCATCAGTTTTCATAGTAATGCGGATGATACACAACTGTATATATCTGTAGCACCAGATGATGTCACTACAGTAAACAGGCTGGTCATATGTCTGTCCATTGTTAACTGGATGAATAGCAATTTTTTAAAAATTAGAAGGGAACTCCACAAATTTGTCAAAAAAAATCTGTGTAATTAAATGGGTGAGATGTAAACAAAGTCATTCAGAGTAGTTTGGTGTGAAATGCTATGTTCTAGAGAAACTTACTGAGTCAGAATTGTTCACAGTGGTGGTGATAGGAACTGGATGTCTCAAGAGTTTAATGCCTCTAAAAACTCCCTCACAGAAATTTATTACACAAGTGTTTAGATATATCCTGCCTGGTGTCTGAGACATTGTTTTACAATATTTTTTTTGATTAAGGTTTAGCTTAAAATGTATTTTAATCTATTTATTATGGTCCATTCATGGCGGAGGGATAGATACAGAGTGTTGTAAGACAAAATAGTTCCCAAAGAAAACTTCTTTTTTCAGATTTATGACTATTTTGATATCATCAGCAACCATGTAAAAACTCAGACACATGTAGGTTCACTCGTGGTTTTGCATCGTAAGTAAAATGGCTATATATGTGTACATATTGCGACCCCTGGTTCCTATCAGCACCACTGTAAAGAACTTTGACTCGGTAAGTTTCTCTAAAATGAACCATTTTACATCAGACCACTCCACCCTGTTTACATGTCAAGGACAGAATTAAGCAGAAGTTTTGGAGAAAAAATGATGGAATTCCCCTTTAATGAAGACAAGACAGAAATAATTACAACCGGTGTTGAAACAAAGACGAAAAAGGTTTCAAAGCAGAAATTTGGATATACAAATAAAATCTGATGGTAAGACTCTTGGCCTAAGTCTAAGTCTGTTGGGAACACACATATATGTATATGTATGTATATATGTGTGTGTGTGTATATGTGTGTGTGTGTGTGTATATATATATATATATATATATATATATATATGTATGTATGTGTGTTTATATATCACTTTTATTTTTTGGATTTGTTTATTTTTTTAATAACTTTTCTTTCTCTGTTTTTCATTTAGTAAAGCACTTTGAGCTGCATTTTTAAAGGATGAAAAATAAATAAATAATAATTATTATTATTATTATAAATATGAAGAAAATAAAAATGCACAGAAAACAATAAATCTATCAAAATCATGCCCAAATACATAGAATGAGACTGAAGAAAAGTAGTTACTACACTCTGACTAAGAATTCTATACAACATTCACATTTAATGTTGCTTTATTGTTCCTGATGCCCTGAATTGATCTTAAATTTGTTTCATGTTGAAGTTGATTTAGATCACAAGGGCTCACGTCCTACATTTTTCTAGCATTTTATTTATTCCATGTTGTCCACCTATGATAGCTGTATGGTTTTATGTACCAAAAGCAATACATTCTTTCATGACCAGTTTTTGCTACTGTTTGGTTAAGACTGATATATGTAAATGAGCTTTGTTCTGATTGCCTGCCCTGTACTGTGCCTGTGCCGAACTGAAACACTCCTTATAACTTCATTAAGAATGGGCAGGGCTAAACCACTGGAGGCTGAATATGTAAATTTGTCTGTTTTCACAAACGCTGAATTCAAAGCAGGCTGTATTTACAGCTTAGCTTCCACATGTGGACTGGGCAACGAACAAAGTGTCTAGAAATTAGTTATAAAATTTACTGTTTTCCATGATAAAGGTCCCTTTAAAATCGATGAAGGAACATAAGCCTCTAATTATCTCAGTAAACAGACTTTTAAAGCAGCAGCAATGCTTCTTCTCAAATATACTGAAATGCATTAGTCCTTGATTATGTCTCATGTGATGTCATTCAGCTGTTAAGGGGAAGGGGAAGGGCATGGTGAAGGATGTGCTGAAGGGTCCAGAAGTGTGCAAAGATCCAGTGAAGCTCACAACACATGCCGTAGGAGTGAACGTCTACAAACAGGGGGAAGATCCACCACTTAAGCCGAAAGAGGAATATCCAGAATGGTAAGAATATGATACAGTACAATAAAAAAAATGCAAATGTTCCGCTTATTGATTTCAGCATCTTATAAAAGATTCACACATTCACAAATTGAAGTCTGCTCATGTGAGTTATTCTTATCTCCAGGCTGTTTCACTTGGACCTTGGTCCCATCAAGAACCTCAGTGAGATGGATCCAGAGAGTCACGAATACTGGAAGCGGTTACGGAAGGAGCACATGTGGCGTTTCAATAGACTGCACAAGGGCAAAAAGTTTTGAGAGACTATTTTACAAGCCCTGACCAGACCAGGATTTGAGGACTGCTATAGAGCCTCATGGAGGAAAGGAACCTGCTTATTTGGGGCATTTTTGACTTGCGGACATTGACATCTTGGCATCTTTGTCCATGTTTCAGCTCCATGTTTAACACACTGTCAAGACCACTCACACTTGTAATAAACTGTTTTTGGGTTTTGTGGTGCTTAGACATCTTTTTCAGCAGATTTTTCAGTAAGTCGTATAACTTACACACTTAAAAAAGAGGGTTCTCCAAGGGTCCTTTAGTAAAGAAAATGGTTCTATATAGAACCATGAACACTCAAAGAACACTTTGCATAATTAAAAGGTTCTTTGCATCGTGAAATTGTTCTTCAGATTGATGAAGATTGTGCTGTAGATGGTTCTATATAGAACCTTTTTTGAAAAGGGTTTTTCTATTGTAACAAGCTTGACATCATCACAATGGAAGAGCCCTTTTTGGTGCTATATAGAATTGTATACATCACATTCTCCATCAATCTGAAGAACAATTTCACAATGCAAAGAACTCTTTAATCATGCAAAGGGTTCTTTGAGTGTTCATGGTTCTATATAGATCCATTTTCTTTGCTAAAGGATCTTTGAAGAACCATCATTTTTAAGTGTGTAGGCCAAATATTTAGGCTTGTTCAATGAAAACATGCCTTAGCTCTCCTCTTATTGAACAGAGCTTGACTTTTGATTTATTTATCTGGCTAAGTGACAAATCCTGCTTCATGAAATCCCCCCTGGTTCTGTTAGGCTTGTGGGGCTGGCCTTTATAGTCTGACATTTAGTCCACCTACTTTGTGAATCACTTCACCATGTTATTTTGGGCTAAAGGGCAGTGGTCCTCCACCTGCAGACTTGTAGACCACCTGCCCTGGAAGACTTGGTTGTTCACTAATGATGAGCTGCACTCAGGTGTAGGTGGACTACAGGACCGGAGCTGGAAAACTGCTGTTGGAAATATTGTCAGTTGTTATGGGAGGAAAGTATTCCCTGATTTATTATGTATTGTTGAAATGTGTTCAGTGCTTTATTTCTAAATAAATATCTCCAAAACATATTCAGCAGCCTAATGCAGAAGTGCTTATTGATTGATATGCATAGATCTTAACAAATTGCTTACATTTTTTAGCACTTTTCGTAATTCGATCATCAACATGTACACAAAGTCATTCAGAGTGGTTTGATGTGAAACGGTTTATTGTAGAGAAGCTTACAGACTCAGGTTTCTTTACAGAGGTGGTGAGAAGAACCAGGGGTCACAGTATCCACAATAAAAAAAAATAGCCATTTTATTTACGATCCAAAACTGAGTTTAACTGAGTCTTCTGAGTTTATATATGTAATGTTGATGATGGTAAAATAGTGATCAATCTGGAGAAAAAAAAAGACTAGAAAATAATTTTAGGCAAAAACTTGGTCTCAAAACTTAAGAAAAACAATGTGTTAGGCAGCCTGTTTGTGATTTCATGTAACAACGTTCTGTGAGAGACATTAAATGCTTCAGACGTCTGGTTCCCATCACCACCACTGTGAATAATTCTGACTCTGTAAGGTTCCTAAAAAAGGAACATTTCACATCAAAATGTAAAGATTTTTATATTCAATTTAATTAAAATTCACATGTAAGCTAATATTTTTAACAAATGTTTTTGACATAAATTAATATATTAAGTAAATCTTTGTTTTTATGTTTATCATAGAAATTATTTGATTTCTTTGCTTGTGTACCTATTCACACTTATTCATCATATTATTCTGAACAGTGAGTCACATCACTTGTTCTCAAGTTTTGTCCTTTACTACAGATCAGTGATATCACAAAATCTGATTCATCTCTCTGTGAGTTTCTGTATTATGCTGCATTTCTTCCCTTTTAATGCAGTGTTTCCCACCAGGGTTTGTGGAATTCCCCTCCTCCTCTAACACATGATTCAAATTATTAGCTATTATTAGTGACTCACATTTCATTCAGTATTTTCAATATTAAGACTTCTGCTTCTACCAAAGTCCCACGTTTTATCTGGTTCCTTTTTTTATTTTTGGGTTTTGGGGCACAATTTGTACTAGTTAATATATTTTAATCATGTAGGATTTCAGTTCTTGTGAGTAAAAGTCTTGGGAGAAACTATGAAATAAATTAAAATGGCCTAATTGATTTCTTATTAGTGACAACTGAATTATTATTGTAAAAATGTTGTTCTTACATGTAAAAGTAAAAGTGTGCAGTGTAGCAGGGGAACTCCAGGGGCTGCTTGCTTAAATATTTATCTTAAGTCACTCCTTGTGGATAAGAGATAGTTAAAGACTGCATCAGGCATTTAACAGGAATTTGTTATTTCTAAAATCTGGATCTTCTCCTGACCTACATTGAAATATTAGGCTCTATACTCTCTACTAATATGAAATAATAAACTTTACAAACCTTTTTTTGGCTACTTATTCATGTTTTGCCACTTATTTTTATTTTTCTTATATTTTGCTTCTGTAGTTTCTTCACATGTGCTTTTGAAGGTCTTTTATTGCATCTAAATTCATAAAAAGACTTGGGAAGTTAAAAAGAATTCTTATCTTTAAGGGAAATCCCAGGTGCAGGTGGACTACAGGACTGGAGCTGGAAAAGGTTACGTAAGGAGCGTATTCCCTGATTAATTATCTACTGTTGAAATATTTCCAATGCTTGGTTTCTAACAGAATATCTCTGAAACATGTTCAGCAGCCTAATGTAGAAGTGCTTAATGTTTAATATGGATAGATATTAACAAACTGCTTACACTTTTCGGCACTTTTCATAGTTCAATCATTGAAATGGAAACAAAGTCATTCAGAGTATGATGAAATGGTGAAGTGGTTCATTGTAGAGGAAATGACTGCTTTCTTTACAGTGGTGGTGATAGGAACCAGAGGTCACCATGACTACAACACAGATATAGCCTTTTTATTTACTATCCAAAAGCACCAGTGAACCTACACATGTCTTCTAAGTTTTTATATGTAATGTTGATGTAATGCCTCGGGCATCAGACAGTGTATTAGCAACCATTTAAGGTAATAACTTTCTGTGAGGGAGTTTTTAGAGGTTTTAAACTCTTCAGACATTTGGTTCCTATCACCAATTCTGAAACTGACAAATCACACTGAATGACTTTATTTACATCTTAACAATTTAGTGAGGCAGAAATTTTGAAAAATCAGTGGAAATTCCCTTCGTAAGTATTAAGCTATTGGGTGTTCTTGCATTCAGTGCTTGGGTGTTTTACAATGCTGTGCTTCTGCAGTTGTCAAAAAGTCAAGCTCAAACATGAAACTTAAAATTTGGTCTAAACCTCAGTTTACCCTGTTTTGTCCATCATAAAGTGATTTGTGTCACTCATTTAACATGAAAGGATGGGTAAAAAAAAAAATATAATAAAAGTAAAGGGAATTCCACCGATTTTTCAAACTGTCTGCATGACCCTGTTCCTTTTCACCCCTCACCCCTACCACTTAGCCCTTACCCTTCCGTTTGTTCATCCCTAGGGGGTAGGGTGTCCTGATTTTCGTTGAGATAGAGGGGTAGGGTGAAGTGTTGGGGCTACATGGCCCTTCAAATGGAAGTTTTTCAGAGACTCCAAACAGAGTATTATGAGAAAGAAAAACCGACAAGATGGCTGCGCAAGCGACCAAAGAAACACACAAATGTGAGAATTTTCTCTGTTAAAAATTACGATAACCACTGTATTATCTTAGTTTAATGTGGTTTCAGTATATCGCAGTCCTTTTCTTCATAACAAGCATAAGAAGTCGCTAGTAGTGCTGATGTCTTGGTAGCTAACATTAGATGGTGCAGCAGTTACATTCTGGCAGGGTCGCCTACAGAGCACTGTTAAGTAAGTTAGCTTGTTAATGAAATAATGTTCTTCTCTATTTGAAGGTCCCATTTTGTAGGGGAAGATTTCAACCACTACCCCTTGTAACTCTGTTCCAAGGAGCAAGGTGACACTCGAAAACAAGGGGTAGAGGTTAAAATGAGAAATGGGATTGGGCCTTAGAGTCAGCATGTGTTCACAGTGGTGGTGATAGGAAACAGATGTCTAAAGTGTCTAATCCTTCACAGGAAGTTACTGCATTACATAGTTACGAATACGCTGCCTGTTACCTGAGACGCTGTTTTACTGAAGTTCTGAGGTAAATATTTGGTCTAAAACGTATATTTTAGCCATGCATGGTGGAGGTGTACATGCAGGGTGTTGTAGGGCAAAATAGTCCCCAAAGAAAACTTATTTTTCAGATTTTATCATTATTTGACCATCAACATCACATATCAAAACGCAGAAGACTCATGTAGGTCCACTGGTGGTTTTGGATAGTAAATAAAATGGCTATTTGTGTTATAGAGATTATAGGTCCTATCACCACCACTGTAAAGAAACCTGAGTCTGTAAGTTTCTTTACAAGTGAATTATTTCACATCAAATCGGTCGGAGTGACTTTGTTTACAATCCAACCACTGAATCATACAAAAAAAAATAAAATTACTGGAATTCCCCTTTGAGGCACTTGAGGCAGAGTAGCCTGTGACTCACGCGCCGGCGTGTGATGCAGCTGTTCTGCTATAGGCTGTTTAAAGGTGAAAGTAAAGAGGGGCAGCATGGGTGTTGCATGCAAATCTGAGTTAGAAAGAGGAACTACGGCGAAACAAGGGCTCTCGGGATCGAGTAAGGTTTGCGGACTGAATTCTGGGTTCTGAAGCTGATCTGTCCGTGTTATGTTTCTGATGGTGACCCGAAGGTGCGAGTGAACCGGTGCGTTTAGAGGAGCAGAGTGACCGGCAGAGCAACGCTGTGGGCTACGCAGAGAGTAGCCTTCAGCTTCGTGGTCGTCGTGCCGGCCAGACACACGGCACCCTGATTCTTTAAAGAGCTCATTCGGGCCTACGAGTGGAGACCACTTCCTGGAAGACCCTTCACTACGCAGGTATTTTGAGGTCTGTGACGATGTATGTTGTGGCTGATTCCACGATCGGGATGCCACTTAGCCTGTGGCTCTTAAACTTAACTTATTTTTTAAATATATATATTTTTTACATTTAATCTAAGAAGTCATATATCTGACCACTCAAAAATAGTCAAACAATATCATTTTAGCAAGTTTTAGCTGCTAACAGTGGCTTAAATGAGCATAGAAACTGCAAATACACAAAGTGGTTAACTGGCATCTGTGCTGAAGTACTTGAAGTTTATTTTTTAAATGGACTTTTACTTTAGAACTACATTTTGAGTAACAGCCCAGATGAGGTCAGCAACCCGCTGACCATATACCTCTGCTGGACCACCAGATTATTGCCCTACTAACTAGTTTTTAATCTCTTCAAACAGATTTCAAATTCACACACACTTTGATTTTGGAAAATAAACTAAGGCAAATATTACAAACAGTTGTGAGAAAAATACTTAATGACTAGACTCTTAATAAAGATGGTTCTTCAAGGGTTCTTTAGTAGAGAAAATGGTTCTGTAAAGAACCATGAACACTCAAAGAAGCCTTTGCATGATAAAAGTGTTCTTTGCATCACGAAAGTGTTCTTAAGAATGTGCTCTATATGGTTCTATATAGAACCTTTTTGAAAAGGGTTCTTCTATTGTTACGATGTCAAGGTTGTAACGACAGAAGAACCCTTTTCAAAAAGGTTCTATATAAAAGAGCTACAGCACATTCTCCATCAATCTGAAGAACCCTTTCATGATGCGGAGAAACTTCTTTGAGTGTTCATGGTTCTTTATTAGAACCATTTTCCTTACTGAAGAACCATCTTTTAAAGAGTGTAGGCCTAATATAAAATGATTTATTTGATATCATTGCTGATGCTGTGCTGGATTGGTTGCAGCTGTAATTCAGCCTTTATTCATGATGCTGCTGTAAAATGATTCACTAAACTAATTTACAAAGAATAACAAAAGAAAGAAATGAAGGAAAAGTAAAGGAATTGGGCTGTAGGTGGAACATCAGCAATGAAAAGTGGTATTGTGTCTAACACTCTACTTGACCACTGGTGGAGCCACCTGGAAAACACTAAGCAAAAGGCCAGTTAGCTGAAAGCTTTGCCATGAGTGGACCAACAGTGTCCCTCTTGCTATCTGGGAAGAGTATTGTGTTTGTTGCCCCCTTGTCAGTCAGTATCACAATAATGTGTAGTTATAGTGGGCTGGGATGCACAAAAATTCATGTTTATTAAAGTTATTTATCTGAAGTGTGCACATTGGCTGTTGTGAAGGACACACCTATGTCCAAAATGTCTTTTACCTTCACTTTACATGCATATTTGTAAAATATAATATCAGAGGGACCAATGTAATGTTCACTATGCTGCTTGTGATACTGACCAAGTCTTTTATGAAAGTTTTAAGAGCTGACTTGACCCCAGACGCTGGCCTGGTTCAATAGAAGCTCATTGCTTTCATGCTAAGTGATGCTATGACTGTATTACTTTGGACTCATGACCTTACAGAGGGCTGTTCTGGGAATTCCCGCCTTTCAAGGGAATACAATGAGCTTTGCACAAGACTTTCCCCACTCTCTTTCTTTTCTAGTTGGTTTCACATTACCTGGTGATGGGAAGCGTGAAGGAAGTGAAATGAATTAAGAAATTTGGATGAAAGATGTTCACTCCTTTCCATGCCCTGACATGCTGTAATATATGATGTCAGTGCCAGTCTTTGGAAGTACCATAATGCAATAATGCACAATGGCGACTGTTGCAATGTTTAGCTCCTGCCTCCAGTTCAAACTCATGAACCACCTGCTCTGGTGGACATTTTTACCAAATAGCTTGGCCATGGTTGAATTTCAACACTGAGAAAAGCTTTGGTTGCCTGTATAGACAGTTTCTGCTCTGAGTTTGGCTCAACACAGGCACACGAACAGACACTCCAATTGGCCAGAAAACATGAAATGGCCCCTTATCCTACTATGAGACTTTTCTTTGTTCCCCAAGGTGACATTATGATATTTGTGTGGTTTTATACAGAAAACATTATCTTACATGACCTTTTTTCCAGCCTCTCTTTATCTCCTTGACCAGTAGCTCCCAACCTTGGTCCTACAGGATCCCCTGTCCTGCACATTTTAGTGTTTGCCCTGCTCCCAGCACACCTGATCCAACTAATCTGCTAATTAACAAGCCGTTCCTGAGTTGAAGTGGGTGTGTTTTGGCAGGGAAACACAAAATTATGCAGACCCAGGGTTGTGAACCACCGCTCTAGAATTAACTGTATATGGATATATGTAAATGAGTTGGTTTTTGTGGCATCACAAAAACAATAAATTCAGAACAGGCTATTGTTGCTGCTTAGTTCCCAAACTGTACATTTACATCAAGACTTTTAAAAAACAAATGAGGAAAAGTCAGTTTCGATAAAGGCCATTTAAATCACAGATTCATGTTTCTGCAAGTAAATGGAACATTTAATGGAATAAATAAGATGTATACACACATGAAAAAGGTGGTTATTCAAGGGTTCTTTAGTAAAATTGGTTCTATATAGAACCATAAACACACAAAGACCAATTTTCTTGACTAAAGGGTTCTTTGCATGGTGAAATGGTTCTTCAGATTGATGGAAAATGTTCTATATAGCACCTAAGCTTGACATCCTAACGATAGAAGAACCCTTTTTGGTGCTATATAAAACAATTTTCAAAATGGTTCTATATGGAATCGTGCACAATACATTATCCATCAGTCTAAAGAACCGTTTCACTATGCAAACAATTTAGTAAAGGGTTATTTGAGTGTTTATGGTTCTATATAGAACCATTTTCTTTACTAAAGAACCCTTGAAGAACCATCTTTTTCAAGAGTGTAGAACACAGAGGCCTGAAATATGAGGATACAGAACTTTTTTTTTTAAAAAGCATGGTAATATTCATTTCATCTGGAGTGCTCAACATGGCATCCGTCAAAAAACTCACCAAACCTCCTTGCTATGTTTGTTAGGAGACTTTAGGAACGTTGCTGAGATATGGAGGACTGGAATGTGGGCTTGGAGACGCTGAGTGATGTAGCTCTGTGCAGACTTGCAGAGATGCTGGACAATTCAAGATGTGGTTGGAGGCAACTGGCAGAAGCAGTTAAAGAGCAGCCGCAGTTCCGCTACAGGTGAGATGCTCTCTTTTCTCCGAATAGTAAAGTAGTAGGTGAGCCAAGGCGTGTTTGGTGTCTGAAGTTTGCTTCTTTAGTTTTTAAAGACGGGTCCTTCTAGAAACACAGTGGCAAACAAATGCTGATATGTATTTCAAATGTAAAACAACACCAGTAAAGTTACACCACTGACAAGATTACAGAGAGCTGAGCTTTTCTAAATTACAGTCCATCGCCACTTTAGTCACATTGTAAGTAGAAAATTACAAATGTTGCCTTCATGTTATTTGGTTTCAGTTTTAAAATCACTTAATGTTTCATGTGTAAAACCACGGACACAATGTTTTTGCAACACATGAAAGGAAGTATTTTAGGAAATTTTATTAAAAAAAGTACACACACTGCAAAAAAATGGTATCTTGTCAAGTGAAAAGATCTTAAATGTGGTCGATATATCTTTCTCATTTTGAGCTTGGTGTGCACTTATTTTAAGATTATCTAGCTTATTTCTAGACACTTTTCACTTTTTTAAAATTTTAATTGTATTAAGTAAAATTATCTCACTATACTGGCAGATAATTTCACTGGTTTCAAGCACATTTCTTAAAACAAGCAAACTTATCTGCCAATATAGTGAGATAATAAAATAACTTAATAAAATTACTGTAAACAAGTAAAAAATGTCTAGAAATAAGGTAAATAATCTTAAATTAAGCTTACAGCAATCTCAACAGGAGAAATATTAGATTTATTGACTATATTTAAGATAATTTTACTTGACAAAATACCATTTTTTTTTTGCAGTGCAAAGAGATTTCACTGAATATAGAATTCGTAGACTTAACATAGTGTTTCTTTCTTTGCGATGAGATGCACGTACAAGAGGCAATTCAAAAGGCCTTCCATTGACATGTTTCTGTAACACTATTGACGAAAGTCTTGGGGGCAAGGTTTATCATGAGTATAAAATTATATTGAAATATTTTTAAAATCATAGGACAGACAATTATTTTAATGCTTTATTTGTAAATTAAACTGAAAAACATTCACCACAGTGGCCTGTTTCACTTAAAGAATATGTAATAATAACGCATCTGTGAAGTTGCTCTTTTGCTCTGCCGATTTCAGTGTACAACATGACTAAAAATCAAAAAGAAGAATTAGCATAGTTTGCTGTTGGTTAATTTAGAAATAGGGCACATATCAACTTTCTGTGATTTATTTTTATTTTGGATGTTTTCATGGCTTCAGAGTGGGACGCTATTTACCACAGCAGTGGTAGAATGACCCATGTAACAGTATGTCAGACAGTGTCACATAGGCTAGTCTGTTTATTAGCACAGTACTAGATTGTGAGGTATAAGCTTCTGTTGCTTGTTTCTCTGCGTTAGTCAGTTTGAGAATACCTAACAGCTGGACATGGTTTGAGGTAAGTGTGATGATTTGGTTGGTTATAAGCTTCCATTACTTGTAAGCTATATAAACATTATAGCTCCAGTGCAAAAGAAACGCTTCAGACACTAAACATGTCTTGGCCAATCAGCTACATCTGAGATACTTGATGCCAGAGGCATCGAATGTGTTTACATACACTTAATAATTCGATAACTGCAGAAAGATTTTGTCAGTAATCTGATCAACGTGTTTACATGCATTTGAGTAATCAGTAATAATGGGGAAACTCCGGGTCTACATGAATCAGGCAGTAATCGGATTTCTGCTTTGCAACCAGCCAATAAACTCACAGAAGAAGACATGATGTAAACGTAACGAAAACTCAAACATTCTTCATTTTTAGATGATATATGTTCATATTTTCAGATAAAGTGGTTTGTTTTAAACAAAAAAAAGCCACTGCCTGAAGTTTAAGTCCTTCAATTCGTCAAGCATGTAGTTGGTTTCAGCGTCGCTCCAAAAGTGTTTTGCTGCGTCTTGCAGCAACGCTGCTCACTTATTTCTGCCACCGCCGTCTGTTTTCACACATGTGCCGACTGAGAAATCCAAAAGAAATCAGAGTACGAGTTTACATGCACTGAAAAATCTGATTACTGAGCTAAAATCCAGCCTCTTTATCAGATTTCTAAACCTTGCTCTGATCTAAGAAATCGTATGCTGTTTACATGACCATTTGAATAATCACATAACTGCAGAAATCTGATCATAATCAGATTATTGAGTGAATGCAAACACACTCATTGTTTTGAGATTCATAGTGAAGTACATGCAGGGTGTTGTAAGGCAAAAATACTCCCCAAAGAAACATTTTTTTGGGTTTACCACTATTTTACCACAATGACATTACATTTAGAAACTCATGGGTCATGTGTAGGTTCGCTGGTGGTTTTGATATTAAATTAAATGGCTATATCTGTGTTTCAGATCACCACCACCATAAAGAAATCTGAGTCTGCAACATCAAACCACTCTGAATGACTTTGTTTACATCTCAACCACTGAATTGTGCAGGAATGTAAAAAAACTGTAGAATCAGTTTTTGGAAAGTTGGAAAATTAGTATTAAATGTCTGTTTAATTTGGTGGAATTGAGTGCTGGAGATGTTTGGTGTGCATGAAGTCTCTCCCTGTGTGCAGTGAGAAGGAGCTGACCAGCTGCTCTCTCCAGGTGCTCAGTGCCAGAGGGAGCCCAGGGCGGTACATGCTCGCTCTGCTCACTGACCGGCACTGCTCCGTCACCTTCCTGCTGCAGTGCCTCAAAAAGATCGAGCACCATGAAGCTGTGAATTTCCTCACCACAAGCGGTACGTGCACACATGCACTTTCTCTTTTAGTTATGAAGCAGTGTCTCCAAAACAAGCCTGGATTACTCAGGAAGTGTTGTAGAAATAGTTCATAAAGGTTATTAGAAGTCTAGAGTTTTGTTTTTATTACATAATGCTTTATTTTATGGTAATTAATTCATTCAATAATGAATTACACAGTTACATAATGACTTACATTTCTGTTGAGCTTGTGTTCTGTATTAAAAAGCTTTGACTATTTACCTTAAATAAATAGAAATATTGCAACAGTACCATCAAAAAATGTAAAAATTCTAATCCTAATAACATATCTCCTCTTCTATACCAACATAAACATGGTGTAGACTGAAATTTAGGACCTGCACTTTCTCCACTTGTTTCAATGAATTACAAGTGAAAAATAATCAAACAAAATATAAGAAAAGTCATGTTAACTTCCATTTGTATGCGAAAGTTTGTGCACCCCTGGTAAAATAAAACATGTCATTTCACCAGGAGTGTTCAAACTTTTGCTGTATCCTCTGTAGAAATACATCATGACTTATACATGTGTAATAATGTCGTAACAATACACAAACCCATTTTTCTGTACTGCTTTGGCTCTAAATGTCTGTGTGTTTGTGTTTGTTTTAGTGATGATGCCGGTAGAGATAACGGTGCAGCCGCAGGGTGTGCAGATACCAGAGGGGAGCTGTGTGATGCTGAGCTGCAGGGCAGTGGGTCCTCCTGGGCTGAACTACCAGTGGTTCAAGCGGGAAGATGAGGTCAGCTAAACACAACCCTTTTAAAGTGCTATTCTGGAATTATTTATTTATTTATGACTACTGTGCAAAAGTCATAGACCATCATTTATTTAATTTTCAGTCAAAGCAGCTGAATATAATCCACTTGCATAAGGCGGGGGAAATCAAAGGAAAATAAGTGAAAAAATGGGAATTCTCAAAACTGCAACTGGAAAAAAATGGAAAAAATGATTAAAAGCTACAGAGAAAATGGGACCCCTAACAACCATGCAAGACCTGATAGACACCAAAACTGTCCACTTCAGATAAACAGCACTTACAGCTTTCATCTTTGAGAGAGAGGAGGAAATCAAGCTGCTTCAGATCTGAAAACATCCACAGGTGTTTCTGTCCATCCTTCCACTGTGAAAAGCCAAATCAGCGCTATGGGTCTGAAAGGATGTGTAGCTGTCAAGAAGAACCTCACTGAGAAAAGAAAAGATAAAAAGAAGAACATTTACACTAGAGCACCAGAACTGGACATCTGAGCTGTGGAGTAAGGTTTTATGGCGTAATGCAACTGATGCAACAGACTGCTAAGACTGAAATTTGGAGTCTCCTGAAAAGAAGACTCAATATTATATTTAGTGTTGGAGGCTTTTATTTAATTTTCTATTTAATGCTTTAGAATGTTTAACTCCTTAAATGGCCAGGGCCCACAGGTGGACCCAAAGTTTTATTACACACTTCTATAATCTAAGAATAGCTCAGCCTGTTTGCATTGGGGTCCTTGTAATTACTGCCTGAGTATGTAATAAGCCTGGAATTTTAAGGGGATAAATATGGTTTCTTTTTTGCTTTTTTTCTGGATGCTGAAAAATCAATAACTTGTACATAATGGCTGTTTTCATTGGGAAGAAAATGATGCAACTGATGCATCCAACTTCTCAGACTGAACTTTTGAGGTGTGGAAAAATATCATTGCAATTCCAGTTCCAAAACTGAAAGCAAGTCTCCTGAAAAGAATGAAAGCTGTAAAGAGTGGACACACTAAATATTGAAAAAAATTGATATGATACATAGTATTGGAGATTTTTTGTGTAATTTTCTGTTAAATGTTTTAGAATATTTTCTGTTATTTTTCTTGATGCTGAAAAATAAATAACTTGTACTTAATGGCCATTTTGAAATGAATGGAAGGTGGTCTCTGACTTTTGCACATTATTGTAAGTCAGCCGCTGTACACTTTCCACTCACTTTGGAAGGAAATCACATCTTTCATTACTGATTCTCAAAGCCTTTCTGTTCAGACAGGAATGTATCTCTAATGAAAGTTGATGGTGTTAATATGTGTTTGTTGTGCAGGTGCCAGGAGGAAATACAGCAGAGCTGATTCTGAACTCAGTTGGACCGGCCCAGGAAGGACATTACATCTGCCGTGTTAACGCTGGGGAGAAATGTGTCTTCAGCAAATGGGCCCATGTGCGCTTGGTCCGCTCTGCAGGTAACGTAAATACTTAAACACTTTATGTGAAGCTGACCGGCTAAAACAAACCCTGCACTGAAAAACGAAATGTATTACGTTTACAGTCACAGTTAAAAGTCAAAGATCGCTCTTTATTTGTTTCATTTCCAGTCAAAATGTCTTTTATGCACAAAATCATCATTTTGCATCATTAGGGAAAACAAATATTCAGAGGAAAGCTACACAGGAGCCCCAACAACTAAATACAATATCAAATGTTTCAGTGTTTAGTCTGTCCACTCTTTACTTTTATTACATATTCCATTCTTTTCATCATTCATTCTTTCAGTTTTTCAAAGAAGTCTGCAGGGATGTTCAGTCTTAGATGTTGGTTGCAAGTAATCACATTCAGTGGTGTTGAGGTCTGGACTCTGGGGTGGTCAGTCCATTGTTCAGCTTCTTTGTTTGATGTCTCTGTCTCTTTTTCTCATTGAGGCTAATTGACAGCTACACATCCTTTCAGACCCATAGCGCAGAGTTATCCTCTGTAGTTAAGAGTTTTAAAGAGTGTTATAACAATTTTGGAAACTCTTATTTTTATATCTAATCTCCAAATCTCAAACCATTTTAGATGCATAGGAGGAAGAACAAAGGCAGATGAGTTTGGGTGGTTGCTTGTGTAAATGTCAGTGTCTCTTTGAAGGGGAATATAATGTCATCTTAGACAACTTTGAGAACAACTTTTCTTAGGAAGACACAGCTGGAAATTGTCTACCAGGTCTTGCAGGTGGTTGTTAGGAGTCTCATTTTCTCTCTAGCTTTAAATATTTTCCCAGTTTTGGAAACACCTGATTTTTTCACTTATTTTCTTTTTAATTTCCTCTTCCTTATACCTTATGTCAAATCTCCATAAAATTGTCTCCTCAAAAAAGAATAATTTAATAGCAATTTTGACTAGAAATTAAATGGAGGGTGGTCTCTCCCTTCACTTCTTATACTGAACTTGATTCAAAAGTGTATATCATTGCCAAATATATATTCCAGCTGCACACTGAAAACTGAAAGAAAAGTCGTGTTGATGTATATCGCTGCTGTCGGAACAAAACCCGATATCTCCATTTTTTGTCATTTTTCAGTTTTTGACATAATTCAAAAATGCCTGTTGCTCTTTACATTGTATGTAAATTACATGATGAATGGACCAAAAGAAACGACCCAAAATGAAAAAGTCTGGTTCCATTGACTTTCATTAAAAGTAAAGTATGTTTTTTCCTTCTCCTGGAAAGTTACCGTTTTGGAGATATGAGGTTTTGTTCCAACAGCAGTGATAAATTATTCATGCACAAATTATGTACACATTTGAATAATAGTAAATTCATATCCTTGAGGGTTTGTTTGAGTGTCTCAGCTTTTCTGTTTGTGTTCCAGGCTCTGGTGTGATGTTCCCCTCCTCAGCCAGTGGTCTGTGTATAACTCAGCAGCCCCTGTCTAAGACACTCTCAGAGGGCGACACTCTCTATCTAGAATGTTCTGCCCAGGCAAACCCTCCTCCTCAGTTTCAGTGGTACCACAACAAACAGCCGCTGGCAAAGGCTAACAGCTGCTTCTTAAAGGTGTTGCACATTCTTCATCATGATATGCAGTTTAACATTGTGATATTCATAGTGCAGCAACAAAAGTGGCAGCCAACAAAAGTGTTAAACCTATTCATCTCGGCAGTACATGTGTTTTTGCCAGTAAAAACACTGCATGACATTAAATACAAATACACATAAATACAGTAAAACATATGAAGAGTTTTATGTTTTAAAGAAGTTATTGATATGTGATTAGTTCACCGCTGACGTGCGCTGACACTCGGCCATCAGTGTTTTGCCATAACCATGTTAAATTAAAGCCATACTGAGACCCCAGACAGGCAGTCAGTCTTTAAGATAACAGGCAAATGGTATCTTACCTCAGCTAACTTTACTCGCCTAGTCTTTTTGTCACCTCGGCAACAGAGTTTGTGAAGAGGTAGTAAAGTGGTGCCACTGTGATAAATTATGTTGAAAATATGATTTTGTCAAAGTTATGAGAGTGAAGTGTAAAAACGAACTTGAACTTGAACCATCATTCTGTCATTTATACAATCATTCATATCAGAGTACTGAGCTGGAATGTATGGGTGGTGCTAGAAATAGTGCAAACCACTGATTGGTCAAATGCAGTTGTCACAGAATTGTCAGGCACCATGTAAAACCAAAGTTCGAATAAAAAGTAAATCAGAATTTAAAGCTCTTCCATTGTTGCTACTGTTTGTGTTTACTGTTGACACTAATATCACAAGAGAAATCATCTGACAACCACACGACCTCCAGGGAACTCACGTACGTGAAGTGCAGAGAGTTGTGGATTCAGATTAGCACCTGTATGTCGCAGCTTCATCTTGTCATCACTGACATCAGTTTGATGAACATGCTTTTCACAGACTATGGTTAATGATGTTTTCAGATTCCATGTGTAACTACAGCGGATCGAGGGACGTACAGCTGCAGAGTGTTCAACCTTTATCACGAGCTGTTGAGTGACCACGTCCAGGTTGAAATTGGTAGGAATGGGGTGGGTTTCAAATTTATAAACAAAAGTTGGCGTAATGATCAGTTTCTGAAATTAACTCTGTGGTGTGGTGGTCTATAACTGTTCAGGTCCTGGATCCTGCACTGATGCCTCTTGGAGGACAGATGAAGAAGGTACACTTTGTCTTCCTCATTACAGCTTCTTAGTCTCATTACTTTTCTCTTGTTTGAGTGTTATGTCAGCTTAACCCACTCATAACTATGCATGCATTTCAGATATGCCCAGTTATGGACCTCCAAGACAGATAGTTGATTTTTATGGTAAGTAGAAGACAATGTTGGCCTCCTTTTGTGTTCTTTAGTGAGTGTAGAAGGAAAATTACACTCTGATGTTTTTTCTGTGCCATAGAAAATGTTATAATAGTGCACAATATAAGTTATTAGTAGCAAAAATGACAGAGTACAGCATTTTTGCATAGGGTGCATCTGTTATTTGGATTACAGTAGTTTTATTTACCAATTCACATGAATGTTTTTCTGTATTCTTTAGTTACAGAATATGTGGACATTTTGTAAAATGGGTTGCATTGGGGGAGAATTTAAAAGCAGTTGAGCCCCTTTTCTTTATATCTGATAACAATTATGTCTTATTTCTGCACTACTTTTCAGCCACGGATAAAGTGGCACTGCTGATGGGAAATATGAATTACCTGCACCACCGGCAGCTGAGAGCGCCCATGGCCGACGTGTATGAGCTGACCAATCTGCTGCGGCAGCTGGACTTCAAGGTGGTGTCTCTACTGGACCTCAACTGGCATGAGATGCACAGAGCTGTTACTGAATTCCTGCTGCTGCTGGGCCGGGGTGTCTACGGTAGGCCTTCCACCATTGTCAACACAGCAAAAAAAAATGGCATATATAATATAATTAATATAATAATAATAATAATAATAATAATAATAATATTATAAAGCTTATTCGAAGGTGTGCTCCATTAAATTGAAATGACATTAAAGGAGAATTTCACCATTTTCAAAATTTCTGCATTATTCAGTTGTTAAGATGTAAACAAAGTCATTCAGAGTGGTTTGATGTGAAATGGTTCCTTGTAGTGAAACCACCCATAAACCTGCATGTCTTCTGAATTTTTTTATGTAATGCCGATAATGATAAAAGTCTGAAAATATACGTTTTCATTTGGAGACTATTTTGTGTTACAGCAAAATACTCGACACTGGTCCTGGAGGACCCCCTGCCCTGCACATTTTAGTGTTTGCCCTGCTCCCAACACACCTGATCCAACTAAACCACTAATTAACAAGCCCTTCCAGAGCTGAAATGGGTGTGTTTTTGCAGAAAAACACAAAAATGTTCCGGGAAGGGGGTCGTCCAGGACCAGGCTACAGTCTTACAGCACCCTGCATGTACCTCTCCAACATGAACTCTCATAAAACAATGTCTTGGGCAGCGTATTTGTAACCATTTCATGTAACAACATGTTTCATGTTATCTAGCATGAAGAATTTCACATCAGATCACTCTGAATGAAGTTTGTTTATATCTTAGCCTTAAATTTGTTTGGAAAATCTATGAAATTCCTCTTTAAAATGTGTTTAGGTAGTCATTCTTTAGGAATGTGGTCGGGCATACCTCATTTATATCTTTCATATTTCAGTTGACTTACTAGGCTATAGTCTGTAATATTTACATGATTAATATGCTAAACTTTTTTCCTGCTTCTGTTATGCATGTATGAATGACACAGGGCTGCTTTACTACGCTGGGCACGGCTATGAAAATTATGGCAACAGTTTCATGGTGCCTATAGATGCTCCGGCCTCGTACACCTCAGAGCACTGCCTGTGGGTCCAGGAGGTCTTACAGCGCATGCAGGAACGCCAGACTGGACTTAATGTCTTTCTGCTGGACATGTGTCGCAAGCGGTAAAGTTGATCAAAATAACACTGCGGGCTATTTTTGTGGTCAAAGCACAAGCAAAAATATAAGCTGCTGTTATTTTTGATCAGCAATATAGCAAATGGGTGTGAACGGGCTTACATCCAAGCAGTTTAATAAAATTAGACTGCACTTGTGCCGACACAAAAACAGAGCCAGTGCTATAGTAACTTGTATGCGTGGCATATATTTAATAGTAGAAGTGCTGTATGTGTACAAAGTGAGGTTAGTTGATTATTTGTAACCTCTTAGAAGTCACAGCTATCACCAGTGACAGCAAAAGCATAGTTCATTTTATATAAATGTTTTCTTGCCTCATTAAAAACATGGGAAGAAATTCTCAAAATCAAAAATACATATTCTGAAATTTAAATGCATCTTTTTTTATGATTTGAATTTGACGAAGGGTTGTTGTTTGTGTTTCCATTTTTCCTTTGTTGATGGCTTTTTTTAATGGGAAAAAAAAGTTGCGAGGCACAAACTCAAACCTGTCGATACAGAATATAAATCAAATGTAAAAGTAATTCCTTACTTAACAAATTAACTCTATAATTACATTTAGGTAGTATAGCAGAATAACATTTATAACTCTAGACTAGCCCTAAATAGAAGTGTTTAGAAGTGTTTGTATTAAAATATAAGTGGTTTTTTTTAGCGCTTTCAGTCTATTCACACCCAGCCTTATTACTCGTCGTTCTATCATTACAGAAACCTGAATGATGACATCATCCAACAGCCTGGACCCCTGAAAGTTACGGCAAACATTGTGTTTGGCTATGCAACGTGAGTCTCACAGATTTGGCTCTGTTACAACATGCTGAACAATGTTGAAGTGCCCTGCTTTTGTAAACAGACTGAACATCTTTCCACATGCAGGTGTGTTGATGCTGAGGCCTTCGAGGTGAACAAAGATGACCTTTCAAATGGGATCTTCATCAGCTTCCTGAAGAAAAGGCTGATGGAGCAGGAGAAGGTCACAGTTATGCTGGACAGAGTAGCTGAAGGTTCTGGGAGATTCATCTTCGGTTCTTTCACACGCTTATCCTGTGTTGCTCAAACCAGTTTTATCTGCCGGCTGTTTTGGATGATATTTGGTGTTATTCTTGGCATCAGCACTGACACTGTGGTTTTGAGGTTTAGCTCAGCTGTGACTCTTGTTCTTCGCTGGTGATGTTGAAGTCACTGAATTTTTTTCCTTCTATTATTTGTAATTATGCTGTTAGTTCATGTGTTTTGCTTTTTCATTTAAACAATGTTGTTTTAGCGTTCCAAGTTATTATTATTATTATTATTATTATTATTATTATTATATTGAAGGTTGATAGAGTTATTTGCTTCACATTGCAGACATGGGGAGGTGTGAGCTCACCCGTGGGCGTCAGGCGCTGGAGCTGCGCAGTAATCTTTCAGAGCGGCGTGCACTCACAGATCGCATTCAGGCCATTGACTGTCCAGTTATGGCATCAACACGCAATCTACAGTGGTCAATTGCACATGGTAAGAAATCGTTTTTAGCGTAATGTTTCAATGCATTTAATTAGGGAGCCGGTAAAAGACCGTGGTACTGAACAGTATTATAATAAGGACTCTCAATATTGCTTATATTAGCAATTGAGTAATTTACCAATTATTTATAAAAGCATATAACCAGGCACAGACTTTCAGGAATTCCAAAGTCCCTCACTGGAAAAAATAAACAACAAGAATCTGTGTTTTTTCTCTATCAACTTATTATTTGAAGTTGAAATTTTAAGGCAGCCCAGACACTTTTTTATGTTAAAACTCCCCTCCAATTTTTTTAGCATGTAGTTGCAGTGGATGATTAACAATAATAAACAGTGTAGACACTTATAACTTGGTTGTTGTTTTTGTACAGTTTTGCCTGAGAGTCGTGTCCTTCAGTTTGACTGTGGTGTGAAGGTCCAGTTGGGTTTTGCAGCGGAGTTTTCCAACATCATGATCATCTACACCCGGATATTAGAGAAACCCAAAGACATCACGTCCTGCTCAGCCCAGCTCTCAGACTTCACAGAGGTACGATTAAGTGTCTCTTCTCCAAATCTGCAGCATCACACCCTGTTCTGATGAATGAGTGGCCACTGATTTTCTACTACGCTCTTAAAAATAATGGTTACTAAAGAGTTCTGGGCTTAGACATACAGTTCTAGGAAAAACCCTGAATTGGTATAGACCTTTTACTTGTGGAGTGGGGCTGAATGAAGAATTGTTTTGATATGAAATCACAATTTGAAAGACTAAAATCACTAGATCTGCTGTTTTAATTATATAATACATTATGCAGTGTTGTCTTAACTTATTTTAATTGGGCAAATATGACCTAATAATGCAGAACACCTGAACTAGCAGACTGGAATACATCATTCAAGTCTACAGAAATGTATGTGCTGGTCTTCTTTCTGAAAATAAGGCCTGGAGCTTTTAAATTGCAATCGCCATATTGGCCAGAAAAATTGCAATTAAATATTTCTCCAAATTGCTCAGCACTGATGTGGAGATTCTTTAAACTTTGTTAATGATAATAATAGAATTTTATATTTAAATGTTGTTCAAGGTCACAGTATAAATGAATGTGAAGACAAACATGTACAAACACAGCTTCATATAAAATATATTTTAAGAAAAAATTAATAGGAGATAAACAGTAAACATGGCACTAAAAGTTAAAAAGCACCAGATAAATGAAAGAAAAAAAATCAAATGAGTTAGTAGAATGACAAAGACTAAAGCAGGGGTGCCCAAACTTTATGGCATGGGGGCCCAAAGAGTAGTATTTGTAGTGGGTCAAGGGCCAAGAGGACAAAACCACTGCAAATAAGGTAGACAGGTTTCAAACATTATATACTATAACATTATATTTTGTTATTAAAATACTTCAAAAATACAAAATTAAAGGAAAATAAGAAGTGAATAAGTTATATATCCACCTTATTTTTCACAACGCCACTGTATTTTGAGATTACTGTTTTAGCTAAGGTGTGCTTACCTGTTAAGTTATTGTTTTATGTCCCATTAAATGTCTCTGATGCATTTCCGGGACTACATGCAGTTTTCAGATGTCATTACAGCTAAATAAATAAATAAAGTATGACAAGAGCAGGAAAGTTATAACTTTCTTGAACAGGGGTCGGCAGCATGCTGCTGTGGAGCCATATGCAGCTCTTTAACTGCCCTGTTGCGGCTCCACAGCAGAATTAGATTTGTAATTAAAAAATAAAATAATCCTCCTTTGCAGTAAAATAAACCTCGCGACTTTTAAGTGCTTGACAGTAGGTAGGTGCAGATTAAATGTGTCAGGAAACCAGCTGGAGTGATTATAAATGCAAATAAGTCAATTAGTCTCCAAATGATCAATGTGCATCTTAAATCTCTCTCTTTGCCTTTTCGTTAGCTACTAGCTAGGCGAGATTTTTGGCTGCGTTGCTATGGTGACCAGCAGTCTTCATTCCATTAAAGGGTGAATAAGTAGTTATACATTAACTCCAGAGTTTAAGACCATTTATTATAAAAACTGTGTTGAACGATCAGCAGAGCTTCATTTCACTGTAAAGGAGGATTATTTTATTTTTACTTAGAAACCTAATTCAGCTGTGGAGCCGCAACAGGGCAGTAAAAAGAGCCACATGTTGCCGACCCCCGGCTTAGGGCCACACTTTGGGCAGCCTTGGACTAAAACGTAATGAGATTAAAAGGATCATCACACTTGCATCTCATCCTAAATGGATCTTTCTTTAAAGAAACATCCATTAAAAGGATCTTTAATTATTTATTTATTTTTTTTAATTTTTACCCCGATTTTCTCCCCAATTTAGTCGTAGCCAATTCCACCCCGCTAGTTAGGACTCCCCCAATCACACGATGCTATCAACGCTAGGAGGGTGAAAGCTAACACAGGCTTCCTCCGAGACCTGTGAAGCCAGCCACTGCTTGCTTTTCGAGCTGCTGCTCACACAACGTTACTGGACAGCCGAACGCGCTCGGAGGAAAGCGCCAACCGCCAGATCTGTTACGTCAGCTAACAGACGCCTGCGCTGACTAGCATCGCGCTGAGTGAGTGATGGGGGGAGAAAGGCAGCCATCCCACCCACCCAGAGAGAGCGAGGCCAGTTGTGTTCTCTCGGACTCCCGGCTACGGATGGCTGTAGCATCACCAGGGATCGAACGCGCGATCTCCTGACGATAGGGCCAACGCTTAGACAGTTGCGCCACTCGCATTAAAAGGATCTTTGATGAATTAAAAGTGCTTCTTTTATGCCGTAGCTCCTTTTAGGTTGCACTTGTCACCTTTATTTTTAAGAGTGCAGCAACCACTCAGTCGTTTTCTTTCCTGTGATGTTATTTCAGGGCCCAGAGATAGATCTTAAACGAACCAATCAGGAGAGCCTCAGAGACGCTGGGAGCTTACTGCTGACCATGGATGACCGTCTACCGCAAGAGCAGCCGCGACTTTACACCCGTCTCTGCGCTCTGCAAAGACTCAAGGTCAGTACGATTCTCATTAGAGTGTTCATAATATTGCAGTGGAAATATATGGACTGTGTAGTAATTTGCATGTTCTTGTTTCTCTCACAGAGGGAGCTCTCGTTCACAGTGTGTCTGCACTATCAGTACACTAACCTTGATGAAGAGGTTCTGGAAAGGCAAACAGTGACTGTGGGCAAACCACTGGTGTCCAAACTGAACCTCCACGAGCAAAGGCCCCTCCACGCTTCACCCTCTTCCTCCTCTGACCTTCACACCATGCCAGACTCCCCATCATTTGCTGAGGATCTGAGGGCCAGCTTGCCTTCCTTAGAAGCTTCTTTGACTGAGTCAGCTGAGTCCTACTATTATCCAGATGCAGTTTCCCCAGGTTCTGCTTCACATAGGATAAATGAACCTGAGGAGACCACCAGCCTGGAGTTCCTCCCATCAGAGGAGCTTCCTACCTCCAAAAGTTTGACCCATGCTGGTACTGAGAAACCTTTCAAATTCACCAGTTTTCATTCCTTCTAGTGTAATGGATTAGAATGGAAAACTGTATTTACATTGGTGTAGTTGAATAAGGAGAGTTTGCTACATGGAACTGACACACCGTGAACCTCAAACACTGTTGTCTCCCCTTTCAAATGCAAATCCCGCAATGGCAAAAGAGGGTAAAACAGGCCAATTCCAAAATCCATAGCTCGCCAAGCTGTGTGATTTTATCCACTTTTTGACAGTTGAAGCCACATTATGTTAAAGTTTCATAGTAAGCTAACAACTTTGATTTACTTTGTGTTGTTGCTGAGATTGAAAGTAAATAGCTGTATAGGGAACATTAACTACTAGCATAGCTAACTAAATAGTATGACGACCAACCTTATTTACACAGAGGTTCATTTTATTTTCCTGTCCATGTCTTTATTGACATGTTGCTTCTGTGTGAGCCATCGTGGTGCCTCACTGTAAACTAGCAATCAGAGCAGAGTTCATCAATGTAATTCCAGAGCCCCCCAAAAAGGGACAACAGCTTGTTTTATTCTGGAGCCAAATCATAGGATTGTAAAGGGGCTTGTAAAAGCACATCTGGGCATTTTTGACCCCGAACAAAGTCACATATCATCTATAGAGACATCAGAGGACAATTCAAAGTTTAATTAAGTGGTTAAGATGTAAACAAAGTCAA